AATTCATATTCAGTCATATTCCCCTTCATATTTAATGGATGAGCAAGATATTATAGATTTGAGGACTACTTATAAGTGTGTGGAAGGAGAATGTGGTAGAAACAATTTAGACACAGCAGTGTTTGATCATGAACACTTAGTCACATATGACTGTGCTTAGTTTTGGGAAATATCAGTGATCCTTTAGGAAGCAGCAGACAACTTTCTCAAATTAATCTTCTAAGTTATTTGTAAAAGTAGGTGTACAGTAAGTATAAAGTTTGCAGACACTAAAGAGTACATTCAATTACACAATAAGAAAAGAACTTTGAATTCTATATCACAACGGCCATGTTAGAATCAACATCGTGTCTCTGCCAGTTTTTTGCACAAATATGCCATACATTTTTCTCTGGCTATCAGTTTGTTGCCTTGCCCATTTTCTTCTCTCCCCTCACTCTCTGTGAAACTCCTGGTCCTGTGCCACCTGGCTTACGGCTTTGGCCATCTGCTTTCCTTTTTCTGTGATAGTTTTGCTTTCCTGTTGTTGGCTAGTCTGCTTGATTTCTGACCCCGTGTTTGTCTGAATCTCCAGGAGCTGTGACGCTCTGCCTTCTGCGTGTCTGCCTGCTTCCTAACTTGCTGCCTTTGCCTGGCCTCTGATATACAGTACTCCTGCACTCTTGCCTGACTGCCTTATTGTGAATTCACTGTTTAGCTGTGACACCTCAACTTTGGTGAATTCCTCCTGGCCCTCTCAGTTTCAGATTTTCACCGCTCTGACTCTTTGCATTTCTGTTGCAGTACACAATCCTAGCACTAATGTTTAGAATTCAAGACCACTTCTTTTTTGCTTTTATCTATTCAGAGATGAATATGTAATAAGTTCAACCTCCCTGACCTCGCTGAGGCAAGCAGACCGTGTCTGGGAGGACAAGTCACACACAAGGTAGACACTTCATAGCAACACTTTCAAGTTGCTTCTTTAGTTAGTTGTGGGCTCCATACACATCAGTGTGATTTTTCTTGGTTTCTTTTATATTTTCTAATTTCTTGAAAACATTGTCCTCTAAAAAAAGTTCATCCTAATTTCTCTTGAAATCGCAGGATAAATTTGATTTATTTAAATAGTGTACAACATTCCAAGCAGTCACTTTGGTACCAGGTCAAAATATCTCTTTTTGAATTCATCCAACTCATACCTCCAACTGTGTTGTGAGCATTCTGCCCACAGAAAAGAATCTCTGAAAATGAAGTGTTCCCTCTGTATTTTCTGTACCCTAATACGAAGCCCCAAATCTCATTATGTACTGTGACCCATCCAGTTCTTTGCCCTCCGTTCTCCTTTCATCTCTTTTGAACTCCCAAGTCCTTAGGGCTCCAGCCTTCATTATAACTTTAGTCAGAGCATAAACTTTCTAGTAAGATGGAGTTTGAAGATCTCTCGGCATTTTGGCTAATCAAAAACTGCTTTTGCTCTCCACATACTCTTTGTTAAGATGTTAAAATCTATTGTCTTCAATTCTAAAGGGAAACAATAACAATAATAATGCCAAATGTGTACTGGGCACTCAATAAACAACAGCTTTTATTATGTTTGCCATCTTTATGAGTGTTTAATTTTTAAATTTGACTGGACTCTCTTAAATTATCACATGTTTCTTTTCCTCTAGTGAAATAGTCTATTTAATATGAATTATGTTTAAATTTTGACTGGACTATGTTAAATTGTGACATGTGTCTTTTCCTCTAGTGAAATAGTCCATTCAATAGGAATAATATACATGAAATGAAAAATTATAGAGGAAACAAAACTTAAAACATTATTATTGTTGAATAAGATACTGTAAATTGAGATTAATTGTATTATGTTTACTATAGCTAATTTTAGATGTATAAAATGTGATTTCTATTTTTTGTTTGCAGCTTTTGTTCTTTGATCTTTAACAAATGTAAGGGTGTTTTCTTTTAAACCTATGATCTCAGTCAGTCCTTTAGCCTTGATTTTCTTTAGGGTTTAATTACTTTCAGCCCATGGAAAGCTAGGACATCTTTGACAGCTCAGGGATGTCTACTCCCTTTTCCCTTTGGCTTGTTGTTTGGGATTCTGGCACCCTCTGGAAGTGGATTTTCTAGCCCCAGGGGTTTTCTAGTTAATTCAGACACAAATCTATGACTGGGAGGATACAGGAGGCAGAGCTAAGTGTTGGGGTCTGGAAGCCCAACCTGGTAGGGGATCAGGGTTCCAGCTGATGCGTAGCCCTCTCCACTATTGATCCCAGGGGAGAACTGCTGACAATCCAAAGACGCCAACTCAGGCAGATCCATTTACCTCCCACACATTACAACACTGAAATCTAGTTACTGTAGCTCAGGGTGTTAGAAACATTCCTGGCTTACTCCTCTCCAGGAGTGGGGCAACAGCATGTGTTTGGATAAGAGCTCTGGCTGGAGCTTATTGGTCACAAATGTTTGCGGAATGGAGTGTGCAGTTTGAACAGCAGGACCAAAATTATTCAGTGCTGGATGTCAGTCTTGTTATATTGAGAAGTATTTTCTTTCTTTCTTTCTTTCTTTCTTTCTTTCTTTCTTTCTTTCTTTCTTTCTTTCTTTCTTTCTTTCTTTCTTTCTTTCTTTCTTTCTCTCTCTTTCTTTCTCTCTCTCTCTGTTCTCTCCTCTATGTCTCTCTCTCTCCTCTTTCCTCTCTCTCTCTGTCTCTCTCTCTCTCTCTCTGGTATGGGGGATCTAACTTGGATCCTTGCACTTGCAAAGAAGGTGCTGGAAGCACTGAGCTAAATCCCTGGCCCTGGAGAAGTATTTTCTTTGTGCTTCAATTTATGCAGATGATAATGAGAGTAACCAAATTTTTGTAAAATGAAGTTAAATTTAGTAGTATTGAAATTAAATTAGGTAATGTGTGCAAAAATACTTAGTGTAGGCATATAGTACTTGCTGAAAATATAGTAGATTTTTAAATTATTATTTTCATTATCATTGAAGGCTAAAGCTGAAGGACTAGGCAGAGGCAAGCAAAGTGCTGTATACAGTGACTTTTAAGAGTGAGCTCTAGCCACTTAGATCTTTAGAAAAATTCTTTCTAGTAGTATTTTAGTCTTTAAACCTGGGCCTTCCATAGCTAGGTTAAAGAGTGCCTTATCAATAGCTTTTCAGAGAATCTACATTTTTACACTAGCTTTGTTTCCTAAAAGCTTAGTGGTGCTGGCAAGGTTATATAACATAGAGATGATATATATGATAGGGATGTAAAATAAAGTATTTCTAGCTTTTTAACTCAATAAAAATCAGTTACTATTGAGCCCATTTGATCCTGGACCTATATTAGAGATGTTCTGCTGGGAAGCCATAAGGGTTAATCATTGTAGAGCAAATAGAGAGGAATATGGTGAAATTTAAGACACTTTGGAAATTGATCCACATTTATAAATCCTTTTTCTTTTATTATGATTGAGAGAATGAGATATGACATAAAAGTTCTGTAAGGACTTGAATATGTTCTCACAGATCTCTAACTCTTACTAGAAGATAAGGTATATACAGATATATAAGAAAACAAATATCAGCCCTGCCCTCTTCCCAAAAGAATGGCTGGAGATAAAACTCTAGATATAAATAGAAAACTTTTGGAAAGAACAGACATTTAAGGGAGAATTTTGTTAGGTTATAGGCAAAGTATGTTGGAACTGGTACTATAATCTTTTTAAGTGTTATATTTGTTTTTATTTAGAAGCAGGAGGGCCAGACAGAAATAAGCAAGAAGTTGATATGCTTTGATTTTGAAATGAGGAGATAGTCCAGTTTCCCCCATGGATAACACACAGGGGAGAAAGCAAGGAAGTGTGACCATAAGGTTATCCGTGTTCAAACAGACTCCCTGCTGAAGTTGTCTCCTGCTTTAAAAGACTGGACAGGAAATTAACAATACAGAGTCAGAGTGTGTAGTAGAGAGACAGTGCTAACCAGCTGCCTGGCAGAAAGCCCATGGAGGCGAGAGGCAGCGGGCAACAGTAGAGATTTGGAAAGGATTTCTCTGTGGCACAAAACATATTCTATGAATCCTCTCCTTTTCCATGAATCCATAAGTAAAACTGACTTTACCACTACAGGTGCTTTTGGAGTTGGAAATTTAGGGTGCTTTAAAGGTAGATGGATCAATAAATACAGAATCCAGTCTTAGGTGCACACAGGATGCAAGTACATGCTGCCCAAAGGATGCCAGCTCACATTTGGATCGTGACTTGATATTCAGAGTGAAATGTAAGATTGATGAGTGCCATGAAAGTACAGAAAGAACCTGTCCAGGGGAGGAAAGCAGGGAGAGGGACAATGGGAAAAGGAAGAAAACTTCGCAAAAGGTATTAATCCATTTGGGCATTGGGAGCTGTTGTGGTACATGCGGTAGCTCCTTCTCCAGTATCCACGCTATCTTGGATGATTTGTGGGGGCCGGTTGTGATGATTCCATGCTCCTGTCAGGAATTAGTTCAGGGAGTGCAGGCCTATATTAATTGGACCAATAATGTGGACAGTAGCTTGGGGCTTCTGGGAATAACAACTTTCTTTCTTTCTTTTTTTTTTTTTAAAAATTGAGTTTATTGGTACATTTTAAGTATACAGGACAGTTACAGTCATCATTGGGATCTTGTACCTTTACATGACAGGTCTTGGTTCTCATTTTTTCCCCTTGTCCCTGCTCTCCCTTCACCCCCTCCTCCCCTCCTCATTTACAAACACTTTATTTCCATTTTTCCATTTTCTCATATTTTTTCTTTCCCTTATTACCTTTCCCCTACCCTTCCCACTTTCCCTACACCTTTAGCCCTTTTCTTCCTATTTCACATTGTCAATTATCTCATAAGGATATGTACTATTATAGTTTTTCACATCAGAGAAACTATTCGTATTTACACATGTTAGGAGCATATCCTCAATATGTCTCCATTTACCTATGAATGAATCTAATAAGAACAACTTTCTTTCTCCTATTGGATTGTGACAAAGAAGAATGAAGCCTCAATTGCAGCCTAGTAGGGTTTCTTGTCCCATGAAGTCATACTGAAGGAAGATTGGAGGGACAGAAAAAGCTTACCCCCCTGCTGGGAATGGTAAGTATGGAGTCCTCAGGATTATGTAGGATTATGAGCAAAGGCATGAAGGTGAGAAAGTTGCAGGTATGTACATAGCTAGGTTTTTTGTCAATAATCCGTTTCATGCCTACTGGCCCTGTCTAAGGGGCATCTGAAAACGTTGTGTAAGAAACCATTTTAATTATTTAAAAAATTATTTTAGCTTTGTTTAGTATTAGTTTTGAATGTTATGTATTTGAACATAGTGGAGGAACTCACTTGTTTGGTATTGGATCACTTTTTAAAGTTGTTGCTTGCTGAAGTTCCATCACATTTTCTTCTTTTTTTTCATTGAGTTTATTGGTACTTTTTGTGGTTGTCTACTATTTTTTCATTAATTTTATTGGTACATTTTAGATATACAATACAGTAACATTCATTATTGGGAATTTGTACGTTTACATAATATATCATGGTTCTTATTTTTTCTCCATTCCCCTATCCTCTCTTCAACTCCTCCAACCCTCTTTATTTATAAAGACTTTGTTTTCATTTTTTCTCATATTTATTCCATTCCCTTCTTTCCTTTCCACTACCCTACCCCTTTCACTTCCCCTTTGCACCTTTTCTTCCTATTTCACATTGTCTATTATATATTTTGATCTTTATTTACACTTTCAGTTTCTCACACCACAGAATATTCAGTATTTACACATGTGTCCTATTTATTTCACTTAAGAGTATGGCCTGAATGTGCATCCATTTAGCTATAAATGTCTCTATTTTCTCAGTCTTTATGGCTGAGTAGTACTCCATTTTATAAAAAAGAAACCCCGCATTTTCTTTGTCCAGTCTCCAGTTGATGGGCAATTTGGCTTTGAACTGCTATGAACATGGGTATATGTATATTGCTGTGGTATGATTCTTTTAATTCTTTGGGGAAGATACCCAGCAGGGGAATAGCTGGGTCACATAGGACCTCCAATCCTAGCTCTTTGATGTATCTCCATACTTGTTTCCACCGGGGATTGCACCATTCTACACTCCCACCAACAGTGGAGAAGGTCTCCTTTCTCCCCACAGCCCCACCAGTATTTGTTATTGGTTGATTTCATGATAGCAGCCATTCTTTCTGGGGTGAGGTGGAATCTCAGCATTGTTTTCATTTGCATCTCTTGAGTGACCAGTGATGTTGAACATTTTTTTTCATAGGTTTATCTGCTATTTCTACTTTGTTGTCTGAGAAATATCTGTTAATTTCAGATGTCCATTTTTAGATTGGGTCTTTAAATTTGGGAGGTCTAATTTTTTTAAAAGTTCTTTATAGATTCTAGATCGTAGATCTTTGTGTCAGGAAAAGCTGGTGAAAATTTTTTCCAACATTGTGAGTTGTCTCTTCACACTGTTAGTGGTTTCTCTTGCTGTGCAGAAGCTTTTTAATAAGAAGAGATCCCATTTGTTGATTGTGCTAGTTTTCAGGCAACTGAAGTTTTGTTCCTGAAATCTTTTCCTACACCAATGTCTTTAAGTGTCTCTACCTAGCCTCCGCCAGTTTAGTGTTTCTGTTTTAATATTTAAATCTTTAATTCATCTTGATTTTAATTTAGTGCATGGTGAGAGATATGTCTATTTTTAATCTTTGGCAAGTTGAAATCCAGTTTTCCCAGCACCATTTATTAAAGAGGTTATCTTTCCTCCAGTAAGAATGTTTGGCTCCTTTGTCAAAGATGAGGTGACTGAGTGTGTCTGGAGTTGTTTCTGCATCTTCTAATCTGTTCCACTGATCCTCATGTCTGTTTCTTTGCTAGTACCATGCTGTTTTTATCAGAGTAACTTTGTAGTATAGTGTCAAGTTGGGTATTGTGATACCCGCTACCTTGTCTTCTTGCCTAGAATTGCTTTTGCTATTCTAGGTCTCTTCTTGTTCCAAATGAAACTTTGGATTGTTTTCTCAAGGTCTGTGAAATAAGGTGTACGAATTTCAATTGAAGTTGCATTGAATCTTTATAGCAGTTTTGAAAGTTTGGCCATTTTCACTATTGGTTCTTCCTCCCTAGGGATGGTTTTCCATTTTCTGATATCCTCTTTGATCTCTTTTGTCAGAGTGCTATAATTTTCAGGGTAGAGGTATTTGCTTTCTGTCACAGGAAGCAGTGGGGAGAATTTTCTGTGGCCTTGAATCCTGACTTTGTTCATGTTATTGTTTTCTTTTAAGCTATAATTTCTTGTATAATACTTATCAATCTTTATTCTTTTTATTGAGTTTATTGGCACATTTTAGGTATACAGTACAATTACATTTATTATTGGGATCTTGTACCTTTACATGACAGGTCTTGGTTCTCATTTTCTCCCCTTGTCCCTGCCCTCCCTTCACCCCCTACTCCTCTCCCCATTTGCAAAACTTTATTTCCATTTTTTCATTTTCTCATATTGTTTTCCTTTCCCTTATTACCTTTCCCCTACCTCAATCTTTATTCTTAAGTGGAAGTAACTCACTCATTTTCTCGAATCTTGACTGGTAATTCTAAGACAGAAACAGTGGTTTCCCTTCCAGCATCAGGAGGAAGTGAGATTCTGAGAAAGGACCAGCTTTGAGAGAGAACAATGAAGTGGCTGGATGAAGAGTTATTACTTTGGTGCTCTGAATAAATTCTATTTGTAATATTTGCATCCTACCTTATCAAGAGTTATATTAATTTTAAATATTAATCACATCAGGCAGTATATAATTCTTCCTTCTATCATATTCTTTGTTTTATTGAACTTTTCATCTGACTGGATGTAAGTTCAATGATGAGAGGAATTTTTTCTAGGTTTTGTTTACAGAAAAGCATTTGAAGCAGAGATGGATCACTAAATATTTGTTATATAAATGAATTAACTTCTCAGAACCATTATATATGCATACAAGGGCTATATTTTTATTTACATGTTGGGAAGAATTATTTCTTCCTTAGTTTATGAGTTTATTTCATGAATTGTATTTGGATATTTATTAAATTTATTCATTTTTAGATAATAAATGGTTAATGAAGTCTAAGCCTTTCAAACTAACAATGTAATTTTGTTTTGGGTAAATTTTAAAAATAAATTTAGTCTTTGAAAACAGTACAAATCTATACATACAGAATATCTTCCTTGATAACAAAAGACAAATTAAAAGCTTGTTTTGAATAATACTGTCCATCTTGCAAAGTTACTATTTAATATTTTAGTGTAGACCAAAATAAACAGCAGGAACTTTCTTCTCATGTTTAAGGTGGATATATTTAACTTTTTTTTTTTTTTTAGACAAGGTCTCACTGTATAGTCCAGGCTGGCCTCCAATTTGTGATTCTCCTGCCTCAGCCCTCCTGGTGCTGGGATTCCAGGTCTGTGCCACTACAATTGGTTTAAGATATATTTAATCTTATTGGCACCCTGATACTAAGATTTGGAGTAAGAAAATATGATTTGTAAAACAAGGACCCTTTTACTTGTTCCACTAACTGGGACAAAAATAAAACAATGAACAATAAGGAAAAATGCTACATCTGTAGTGGCAGGTTCACCGAAACAAAAATATCTGAAATGATAAATGTCTCCAGATATGTTGATTTACACTGCTTGCTTTGCTATCATCAAATGGCAGCTATCCTTAAGAGCAGATGTAAATGACTGTGCCTGCAATGTATGTGTGGCAGAGGCATGAGTCCTGATGGGAGACAAGGGGAAGGGGACATAATGAGATTCAACTGAGGAGATTTGGGACTCCACTCATCTTCACTTTGGAGTGAAACCAGATACATGGCTGTGAGAGGACTCCGTACACATGACTCACTGAAATGAGAGGGTGATAAAATGTCTTTTTCATGCTTTTTGCAGGATAAATTATGCCTGAAGCTACAGAAATGTTCCTTTTCAGCTTTAGATTAAGTGTGCTAGTATAATAAACATTTCTGTACTGTTCAGTTTCTTTAACCTAGACAGCTCAATTAGGGTTGGTCAATAAAATACAACTTCTGTGTACTTTGTGAACACTTAATGTGACTGAGGGCCTGTTAGCAAGAAATGTCACAGAAAATGGGTTTTGTCAAGTGTTTAAGGAAATTGAATTGGAATTGTGTGCAATGAGTATGTATGATATATGCACAGGTACATGTATGTTTAACATGTATATATCATTTTATTCTGTCTAACCTAATAATATTGATAACATGGTAGTGTTTTGTGTGAAAATGTCTTATTCATTGTCTTGGCTGCTTACTGGAGAACTGGTGATACTTTGGAAAGTTGTTATTTGTAGGCACAGATATCTAAAGAAGTCAGAAACTAGAATGACTCATAAAGAGTGCATATTAATTTTCAACTTTTCATTCTCTCACATTTTTTTCTTTTCCCTTTTTACTCTTCCCCTACCCATCCCACCTTCCCTACACCTTTAGCTCCTTTCTTCCCATTTCTAAATGTCAGTAATCTTATTAGAATCTTATGCATTGTTGCAGATTATTTACACCAGGGAAACTATTCGGTATTTACACATGTGTGACTTATTTATTTCACTTAGGAATATATCTTCAATATGTATCCATTTTCCTATGAATGAATCTATTTTTTCATTCTTTATGGCTGAGTAATATTCCATTTTATAGAAAAACCACAACTTCTTTATCCAGTTTCCAACGGATGGGCAAATAGGCTGTTTCCAAGAGTTAGCTATTACAAACTGTGCTGCTATAAACATGGGTGCACATACTTCTCTGTGATATGATTCTTTTAGTTCTCTTGGAAAGATACCCAGCAGAGGGATGGCTGGGTCAAATGGAACCTCCAGTCCAAGCTCTTTGAGGTATCTCCATATTGATTTCCATAGTGGTTGCACTAGTCTGCACTCCCACCAACAATGGAGAATGAAAAGATGAAAAAAAAAGTGTTTGTAGATGGTGAGGGGAGGAGGGGGTGAAGGGAGGGCAGAGGTAAGGGGAAAAATGAGAATCAAGACTTGTCATGTAGAGGTACAAGATCCCAACAATGAATGTAACTGTACTGTATCCCTAAAATGTACCAATAAACTCAATTAAAGCTGAAAAAAAAGAATGCATATTAAGCCTTAATTTTGATCTTTGAATTGTGACGAATTGGGAAGAGGAGAAGAGATAGAGGGAAGGGTAAAGGACAACAGGAGAAGGGTATGTAGAAAGAATTAAGATGTGTTAGATAAGTACGTGCATCAACTCTCCAGATGAATGTAATCATGAATTGCAAATGTGTACTGATAAAAATGTAAACAATATGAATTGCCATGACTTAAAGGTGGGGTCTTGATTCCTTGCTCAGGTTGTAGTGCTTGATGAACTTGTGTATTTCTTTTCTGAAGGAAAGTACGTGTTAGGCACTTGTGGGATTGGATGAGAAAAGGACTTCAGATGAACGAGAGGCTGGCGCAGCACCATGGACAGCAGACACTCCAGCGTCCACCTCAAATTACTTAGGGCGGGTTTGCGTGAGAGTCTCCCTGCAGACTGTAATTCTAGCTCTTGTATGACACCATTATGGTACCATAGATATTGCCATGATGACCAAATAAGGCTTCAATTTCTTAGGCCCTCCGAGATTAGCCCTAATTTAATCTATTCCACATTATATTTCAATTTCCATTATGCCTCAGGAGTTCAGATCCAGGCCAGAGAATTTTGTGTGATTCATTAATTTAATTGGAACTTAGTTTTTAACTACATCATTTCATGGACCAGACACTAACTGTGAAGTAAAGTCTTTACTGTTTCTCTATTACTTCCATTGTTTCTCTGCCTTCTCCCATCACCACTATACCCTGTACCTTCTTTCACAGGGATTTGTTTTTTGGGGGACTTAAACTCCATCTCCTGTGTGAGCCCTCAGATGGCACCTCCTTGGGAAAACTTTGTCACACTTTTCTCACACCCCAGTCTCTCTCTTCACTCCTTTATTTGCTTTATTTTTACTTCTTTTTTGACATATCAACTTCTTCTGGTATTGCTGTTATTTATGTGCTCATCTTCTCTCCCTGGAGGACAGAGTTAGTGCCTGATTCTCTGTTGTGCTTGGGACTAGTGCTGTTTATTCAATTCTTATTTTTCCATTTATACTGAGGATATTGATGAACAAGGCCCTGTTTTCCAAAACACTGACAATACTATTTTGGAACATACTTAAATGCAGTGTGTGTATATAATTCAACTATTTATCATAATGGAAGGCGGACAGGACCATGACAAATGGGAAACAAAAACACAGTTCCACTTGTAGAGAAAAAAGCACCACATTGTCTTTCTGAGGGGAAAAAAAGGTATTTCTAGTTTTAAAGGGCAATCTCACTGACTAAAAAGGTGGAGAGAAAGTTTGGAGAACAGCATATAGTGAATTGATTAATTTTTAATGCTACACGATGACTCTCAAAAGGGCTATTAAGATGAGCCAGCCTTGCCTTTTCTTGGCTAGATTGGTTTGTCTCCACGTGAAGAAGAGATAGGAGAAAGCACCAGATCTTTTCAAAGGGCCTGTTTACTCGTGGTATTCAGATCAAACAAGATAAGTGGGATGATTGGGAATTCTTTATTTGCACTTCTAATTGTTTCCTTAAATGTGACCATAAAAATTCATTTAGAAAACTGCGGCAGATTTAAGGAGATAAAATAAAACCTCAGATGGCTGTTAGTAATACAAATAGCTTACAGTGTTTCTGCAAACTGCATGTCAGCCACAATTAACAATATGATGTTTATTTTGGTGTGGGTGGATACCCCAGCAAGCAGTCTCTGTCTGTACATCGATGGATCCTTTTATCATGTCTTCGTAAGTGAAACATTCTGTCTTGCAGAAGACAGATGGACGCACGGCACGTCCTCACAGCGCAACCACTTATGGCAGTGGAATCTGTCGGACAAACAGGTCCGCACTGGCCCGTGAGCAACGCCTACCCCTGGTGGAGGAAACCTACACACATGCAGGAGCTCTGATCGCAATCATCACACGCTCACTTTTTTTTTTTTTTTTTTTTTTTTTTTTTTTTTTTTTTTTTTT